CCCCTCGGTTGGTGAGGGGGTCCCGCTGGAGGCGCCCGCCGGAAGCGCGTTTTTACGCGATTAGGTTTCACTACAACATATTTTTTGGGTGATTTGGGGTCGCTTTGATGATGCCAGAGTCAGGGAATATATCCATGAAATCCTCGAACAATGATCAAATGTTGGCAATTTTCCTGAAGCTTTGGTTGGGTATGACAACACGCATCGGATTTAGCATGTAGCTTTGGTTGGGTGTTACACACACACATTTACCATGAAGAAGCTGTTTTCAAACCATCTTCAACTTTAAACCCTCACAAAGAAAGATGGTTATCATTTTTTTCAATATGGTGCTCACTTTCCTTCAACAACAAATTCCGGCTGAAAGCCACGAAAGAAAATCACATTTTTTTTGAATCCACCCGTAAAAGCGAGTACTACCCTGCCGCAGCTCCACAAACCTACCCACTACGTGACCGACCCCCCAGCACCAAAAAATAAACAGTAAAGTTGCGCACTTGCGCTATTTGTTGCTGACATGAAGAACATGCACATCGCTGCTAGTGACAAATTCGTCCATCGATCGCACGGTTGCACCTTCCCTCGAGTGCGAGCGTGTGTGTTTCGTGCTTGCGCTCCTCTCACGCTTTCTCATCGGAATTTGGTGGATATCCATGTGGTTTAGGAAGCATAATGTGGGACGTACGTAACATGTTGAAGTACTGGCTGTACTGGCACCCCTCTGAGCCAGTCCAAGGAAACTGTCCAGTACAGGAATACCGTCAATACCCACTGGCCCAGTACCCAACCTACCCGAAAGACGTAGCACAGCAGCAGCAGCATATGACACACATAGACACGGCACGAGACAATCAGCACAGCAGCACACGAGACTGCTGTGGACCAAGGGCAGCCCAAGGCACACATGAAAGGAGGTCTGGTTCGTCTGTCAGAGCCGCTTGGCTGCTGTCGGCAGCACCACAAGCGAGGGAGGCGACACAGGTCGAATCTGCTGGTGCTGGTGCTGGTGCTGCAGGCCGATCTTTTGAGCTTGCTACACAGCAGTGGTGCATCCCTAACCCTGACCCCACGAGACGAACAAACTGCTGCAGACTAATGCGGCCAAAGGTACACATCATACGAAGCATCGAGGGCGATTTTTGAAGCCCGTTGCCTGCTGCTAGCAGCGTATAAGCGAGTGAAGCAAGTTCACACAAGTCAATCAATCTGCGGCTGGCTATCTTCGCCGTTCTTTGCAGGCGGATCTTCTCTTCATCCACAACAGACCCGCCCGAAAACAGAGAGACAATGAGATATACACACGCTGCCGGTCAAGGCGACCAAATACGCACAAACATAGAGGGCATCGGGGGCGACTTATAGAGCCCGTTGCCGCTGCTAAGAGCGTAAGTCGTGCACATCCACACAGCGACAGCAGCGGCAGCAACAGCAGCAGCTGATGATGATTCATGAGAGCTTCGTCCACACCACA